GAAGTTCTGAAGGAGAGGTCCTGGATTTCTGGTCGGAACTGAGCTTTTCCCCGACAAGTCCAGCGGTACGCAAGCGCAAAGCACGTACACAATTTTGAGATGATTTGGCAAGGCCCCTATGCGTAAGGCACTAGGATGCAGCATTGGCCCGCCCAACACCACTGAGCCGCCCACAAATCAGTGCTATTTCGCTTTGCTGCTACTGGAGAGAGGGTTTTATTTTCGGCCTTGTCGACGGTTTCTTTCCGTTTTTCCATTGCTGGCGTTACACTTCACATCTCCATCGTCACTTGCAAGCGCAAATATACATCGATTCGATTCCGGACCTTGCCTTCAAGGAATTCTGAGTGTTCTGATTTCGATACAACCGACGATTAACTCCGCTCTCAGGATTAAGTCAATGCCTGACCTACCTCGAACTGTTACCCACATACCGCAAACCAGTGTGAACTGTTACCCACATACCACAAACCAGTGTGGCTTGTTTGATTTCCAACCCCACATAATATTCGGGTGGCAGCTCTACTTTTCCCGATAAGGACTTTCCCCCAGATCACAATCTCTCACATTCGCAACTTTGAACACAACGCTAACAAAGTCGAGCTCACAAGCTATCTCCCATACTTAATTTTTTATAGTTGAGCCACAAATTTAATTGAAAGCGAAAAACGTGCTTTATTCCGGAACGAAATTTTCAGACAGACGTCAGAGCGCGCGACGATCTCGTTGGCTGCCAACAGAAAGCAACGAAGTTGACTTCATACTGGTTCGACTTCGAATAGACAGCAATGGTCACACATCGACTTTTGCAATTTTAGTGATCAGAGACCGACACTGGCCCTACTTCACTTGTTTCAAACACAAAGAACTGCCCTAAGAAAAGGCGCACCTACATCATGTGTGAAGAAACAAAAATGCCCCAAAAGCGAAGGAGCTGTCGCCAGAATTGAAGGAACCTCCTTTCCAGCCTGACGCCGTTGCAGCCTGTCTCACTCCGATCTCTTGTCTTGGGTTCTGGTTCTTGTTGCAGAGATCAATAGTTTCATTCAACTCACTGAGACACCTAGCCAGGGTCAACCCTACGTTGGTACAAGTACCAACGGGGGGATTGTAGTTTGTTGTTTTTTTTTTGTAGGGGGTCGGAAGTGGTGTAGTGACAAGTGGGGCGCAGAAAAAGAAGTTGTGAAGAAGGTGAAGAAGGAGCCGTATGAAAGCTTTCATGAAGGAGGGGGGTCGTAAAAATTTTGCAAAAAGTGGCAACGATAGGACCGACCCTGCTCCTAGCTCTATTTAAAGAGAGGAGATCATCTTTTGGAAGTCCCAAGGCGCCTCCTTTCACATGGTACCACAACGCTTTTTCCTTCCCTGCAGAAAGTGCTGCAGACGGCATCATCTCGCATTCTATCCCCCAGACATACTGTTTTTGAGACACCAATTCGCAAGCATTGAGCCATAAAAACACATTCTATCATACTTACTGCACTACAAACACTGTTATCGACAGAAGAGGTTGTCAACGAAACATCCACAATCACTGACAACAGCAAACAAACATCAAATCGGGTGAAATCGATTACAAAAACCGCACGTCGCTAAGAATAGTTTATCGAGATAAATTTTATTCACACACTGGTGTAGATATTATTCATCAGGGTAATCAGATCACAGTAGCTCAAATCAAATACTACATCGAATCATATGAAAGTCTAGCATCAAATACTCAAACGGTAAAAATGCGTCAACCACCACCTTACATCTTCAAACATAATTACATTGCTATATAATGCCCTGAACCCACAGAAAATTACCTGAATACACATATTATGAACTATCTCAATCCTGTTTTTTGCCCTTAACATGAAACCCGAAATCCATAGACGTTATGGCTATGAGGACTGCTATATGACTAAAGAAAAACGGTAAGAAACAATCGTAACCGAATTTGTCGATGAGGAATGCCAGTGGCGATCCGGCAAGTACCTGATCCAACTGAAATAGAATTAGTAAAACATAGCACCACTGACCCTGTGCAACGTGCAGTTGCGTTCCTGACATAATTAGCAACGAGACTTTCTGACGATTAAGGTAATTCCAAAAAGGTTCAGCAAGGAAAAAAGCAGTAGTGACACCGAATTCAACTCTCAAGCGATTTGGTATATGTTCAGGAGGAAGCGATTGTATTAGCTGGCACATAATTTCTGAGACACTTTACATGTATTTGTGTGAAAAAAAAACTTTTGATAAGTATTGAAGCTTTCCAAGATGTCCTGCAACTCAGCACACAAGCTCGCCTATCCGACAGGCTAGCCACCTCGTTTGCTTGTTGCTTTCTTTAGCTAGGATTCCAATTTCTTCGAAACCTATTTCTGAGCCTCTTTCTTCATGACTACCGATTAGGATCTTCCACGCGCCAAGCTATATGGAGGATTAACCAGAAGATAGTTGAGGGCACGCTCTCTCAATCCACGGTGCCCGGTGGTTACCTCTACTCAGGGTTCCCTCCTTTTATTTGAAGATGATCCACACTCCAACCACCCCGTGACTGGCAATCTCGATGCTCTATCCAACGCCACTGAAAGGATCTGAACAGATTAGCCGTTATTTGCCAGCGCGCTTTCAATGGCAATACCGAGACATCACCATAGAGTCGTAAAATTCCAGAATATTGAGTTTGTTTATCACACGCCCTGAGCCCGAATAAGCTGCACCACGATCTGACATCATCATGTTCCTGTTGGTTTCCTATAGTTCTTCGAATAACCATCCAGCACACTCATTGGTGATGTGCTAACAAATCCACAAACCGCAATAGTCTAGCTTGAACGATTCGGGAGTTTTGACAGCAAAAGCCCAAGTCTCGAGGCAACCTTACTCTAATCACCATGATCTCAAAATCACTCTATGAAAGCTTATAAGAATACTACTCCGCGTTGCGGTATGTGATAATACTAAGCAAGTTTATACTATGTTGAATAAATACATCAGAGAAATAAAATAAGTAGTTAAATCGAAAAACATCCAAAGTGTCACAAATATTATGTGCCCTCCTAATAGTACTCAAACACATTGCTCAGAAGCACCCCCTCTAAATGCAGCGAATCAATCTAATGTCAAAAATACAAAACTGTAATAGTATAAATTGAAATCGACTCACGTTTGACTAAGAAAGACACGAAGCAGACATTGACTCCAAGAAATATGACTTCCCCTAGTTGTGAAGCTCATGCACCAAACATTGATGAGGAGTTCACCAAAAAGCCAAGTGAATAGACCAGTAATGATATATACTCAGAAACACATATTATTCTGTTCAATCTGATACAAAACGATAAACGCAATAGCATGCGAGAATTCAAAAGATCCAAGAGTGGATATGCCACATACTCTCACAGTATCATATGCAAAAATCAAGTAGACCCAAATCGCCTTACGTGAACCTTGTATCGTTCTATGGAACAGTTTGTTTATTAATTCTGTGGCCAGCAGGTTTCGTACGATGGACGTTTTTGAGTGCCCGACGCTTTCGCCAAGTCGTCGTTATCAAAGGCCTAAAAGTGTGTGACACATTCAAAATGTTACCTATCCGCTCGTTATGGATCCGCATTCGGTCAAGTGTCGCTCAAGGTATACGCAGGATCATGTGGCAAACTAGAAAGAAGCACATTGAAGGACTTACTTTTTTGAATGCGAAGTAGAAGAAAAAGGCCAAGCTTTTATTCAGGTGAATGAATGATTTGTGAAGAATTAAGCCAATTTAACCGAAGAATGAAAAAAAAGGTAAGTATTTGTTTTGTGAGCCCATTTCTTCATGTGCTGACAAGAATGAATACTTGAATGAGAAGGAAAAAAACGAACAAGAAAAGAATAAGATGTAAACAACGAAAGTGATTGGAAACTACCAAGGTGTTAGTACTTATCGCTGCTACGAGAAGCAGCAAAACACTGCTTGACACACCGACAAGGCGGCGCGACGAATCAGCACCCATTTGGATACACAGACGATCCTAGCCAAACCAGAAAGAAGATACGCAAAATCTGATGATGCAGCAACATATCTGAGCGGCATACGCTCAAAAGCCGGCAACCTCCTATTTCATAAGTCACTTGAAAAGTCGCAAGACTGAGACCGTTTTCAGCCACGTAAAGAGGAATCCACGTTTCACATATTGTTCGAACCTTCAAAACATTGAATTGAGACAAAGCGAATTAAAAAGAAGTCGGAGGCTGAGTTAAGAAGCTATTGAATTAAGGTCAACTTCATTTGAGCTACAGAATAAAACTACCAAAAATAAAGCACACAAGGATCTGCATAGGCCGAGAGTAACCCTTCACTTCTCTTGATATAATTATCTTTTTCCCACATTGTAATTCGATAAACTTCTAATACTTCTGATCATACATATTAAATTTGCTGCTCTCCGAGTGGTGCGCTACCAGTTAGCTGTATTATTCGAAAAAGAAAAAACTGGAGGGCAAGAAATGTATGAAATAATTTTTGGGAAACTGCTGACACATTTCAGATTCGCATAAAGTTCCTGTAGCTCAAATTGAATAGAAAATTTGAAACTGCTGGCGACATCGTGATCAAATTTAAATATTATTGAAAGCAAATTCTGTCCGCAGAGTCTACCTTTAGCAGCTATCGTGCACTTTGACAAAGTCAAAGGATGCATTAGAGCTGTACAACAGGCAAGATAACAGTAATATTAGAAAGAAACTTGTTCGAAATGAATGCACAAACCTCCATAGAAAACAGATACATTGCAGCCACACTCCAAATCACTGGTGAATAGGTGAGTGAGATCAGGGACAGGGAGCTTTCCTTCTCTATATGTTGTGGCTTAATGTCGTCACCGCGCAGCGTATAGTAAAAACAGGCAGAGAACAACAGAGTGAAGAAACCTTGAAGAATAGGAAAAATTATCTCTATACCATATGCGGAAAAGAGGCAAATGAATGAGGAATATTCAGTAAGGGACATCGCCTGATGGAATTCTTCGGAAAGCTAGGGTAACTCGTGTGTAGACCAGTCCTAGGGGGGGAGTGATGCGGTGAGGCATAACTGCATGCGTTGAGAAGCTGAATGTTCGAGTTCACGCGAGAAACTGCATCATATGCCCCTAATGGAATAAGACGCGAATTGATTGAGAAAAAAAACGAAAAAGGTTAACGAGAACTGAGGCTAGAGTGAGCATCCCTAAAATATGAGGAGCACCGCCAGTAAGATGTAATTGACAAACGGCATCAGCAAACCAGCAACCGTGCTACCACATCCGAGTATTGAGAACATCTTTGCGTATGAATGATCAGTGTACCACTAAATTCAAAAAAAAAAAATGCTGTGATTTTAGAAAGAGATGGGAAAAGCACTAACTTTTCCAACTAGCTTGGTAGCTGGTACCCAGGCTGCGCCTTGAAAACAGCCAATGCATACCACAGACAGGAGAATTTGATGAAATGAGGAAACAAATCCTACAATAAGATTAATTTCAGGGATGAATGGGTAAAATTAATGTATGCTATACGAAGTTATTACGACTGAAGTCACGGCGCATACCAATAAACCGAATGATATAATCCTCACAGATGAAACACGATCAGATGCCACACCAAACACCAATTTGGAAACAGTGAAACACAGAGCTTGGGCAGAGACGAGCCAGCCTGAAAACATGCCAGAATTCAATTGAATTGTAAATTCCATTTCTCAGCCTGTCTACCTCTCTGCTTAATTTCCTGTCTACCTTCTTGCTTAATTTCTGTGTATTATAGAGTATGTGCAGGAACGCTTGATGCCGACCTTTTATTGATGCGAACTATATACAGCAACAGTGAAGCTTTCGGCATAATTATCTCACATTGGCCGGTCTCTAAAGATATCGTCCACATGCTCAAACAACAAAATCAATACGATATTGAAATGCAATCCTATAGTAATGGGAGAAAAAACTGACAATGGGGTTAGCCAAAATAATCATGATCGTAACGATTCATTGTGCATCCTTAACGCTAAATCTATTATAACGCCGCTTCGAGAAGGCTTCTGTTAAGAAGTGTAACACGAGAGAAACTGAGCAACAAATGCAAAGGGAAAGGACCACATTCGGATATATCGGGGGTAACAATAACAGTTTTCGCCTATGAAATGTACACAACCAAGATTTAATTATTACTCAGCTATACATAATACGATATAACCGTAAAACAAATCCTGTGAAAAAGAGTGTATGCAACGGTGATAAAAACCTACTGCTAGTTATTCACTATTATCCTTATTCGCTCTCAGTAAATCACAAAATAATTCGTAAAATAGGAAAGCACAGCCTGAATTTGCCGCCGCCTTGAGTTGGCTTGGCCAAAGTCCTTTGAACAGGCCATAGACAGACTCATTCCGAACCACCATCAACATCGTTCGGATCATTCCAATACGGTAATCCGACGTTTTGCCAAAACCCCTCCGTTCGAATCCGTTCATTTGTAGCCGATGCCGGATCATATCGAGCGGATAGAGGACCTGAGAAAATAAGCAAACTTCACCTAGATTCGTTATAAACAGAGAGTAGAGAAAGAGAATCCCATATATTTCTACCACGTTCCAAGGGCCGCATCCTGGGATAAAGAAGAAAAAATCCCTTTAACACGTTGACGACAGCATGACGCGCATGCGCGTCAGAATTTTACCCGATTCTGGCTGATTTTTTTCGATTTATTTGGCATTTTTCATATTTCAAAACTGTGTGCATGCATTATCTTATCCGAAAAACTGTGCATCAATTACCAGTAGTGGAATTATTGAAGAAGTTATGACGATTGTGAAAAAAATAACAAAAAAGGTGCCGAGGTACACGCACAAGGGGGGTTGCCGTCAACGTGTTAAATTTTCTCTGTATCCCTAGCAAAAATCGCCCTGAAAACAATACATTTTATACAAGTGTGAAAGCAAACAAGTGCGGAATTAGGGCAACACTTCGTTGAAACAAATAAATCTGGAAGAACTCGTTGTGCTCGTTTTAGCCTAGGCAAAAGTGGCCGATGTCAGACTTTGCGATTGGAGCGATTTTGCACCAATTGCAGGAGCGACGGATCGCTTGAGCGATGCGAGCGACGGGAGATTTACACCGCCGACCACCGATAATTCGGGCGCCATCAGTTCGTAAATCTCCCGTCGCTCGCATCGCTTGAGCGATCCGTCGCTCCTGCAATTGGTGCAAAATCGCTCCAATCGCAAAGTCTGACATCGGCCATAGGTAACGATCCCAAGAGGAGAGCGTAAATTTATGCGTATATATCACCTGAATCATATAGACCTACACTTATTCTGAGTAGCTCTAAGAACTTTTTTATACTTGAAGAGCCATTAAAAAAAGCAAACAAAAAAAAAAAACCGATGCCACACCAGAACTAACTAGTCATAAGAACGTATTTTCACTACTCTGCAAAAAAGTATTTGATTGTAAATATCAATCAAAAAGCTTTTATTTGCCTTTACCTAGCTACTAATAGGACGCACCATATGTGCAACTTTGCGTACTCAATCGTCCTAAACCTTACCCTTGCTCACTCACTTCACTCACTTCAACTCAAGGACGAATATTGTTCAAAACTTACAGTTTTTGCGACAGTTCATCGGCAAGCGCACCGCTCACTGAGGCCCAGTGCCGAATCATGGTGGGCGGCTACATCCGAGGCGCATGTCCATCCTAATAAATTGTGTAGAAGACGAATTGAAGTGCCAGTGGCAAAGGTGCTATTGTGCATGCTAGGTATCGCACTGCCCGAAAATAACCAACGGCACCATCTCTGTTCCATATTTGTATTATGGCATGCGTGGTTCCTGCGATGAAAATCGATTAAAATTTACTATAATTTGAAGAGTTCATACGTCCATGGGCACACTAAGCACCGCCTCTGTTTCCCTCCACTAACGAGTTCCAAATCTATTAGCCCTCTATCTACAACAGTGACCATTCTGGTCGATGCTAGCATTGTAATATGAAGGGTTTGAATGTAGCCACTTTAATCTGTCCCATACAACACTCCCAAAAACTCGCGTGGACGGATGAGCGGAGCGGGGGGGGAGGTATATGTGGCTTTTTAGGAAAGAAAACGACTTTTCCCCTTTTCTCAGCTCGAACTTTTCCCGCTGCGAGGACTCCACTTACCAGTGATCAGGATTGGACTTTTATTTCAGAAACGAAAAAAAACTTGGTGCCACTTTCCGTCCTAGCGAACCACAGCCGGGGGAGGAGTGGGTATGTAACTAGTAGAACAACTAATTTACATTTGCGAAGATATCCTTCAAACCCATCCCTCACTGTCCACTTTTCCATTCAGGACCTTTCTTGCCCCTGCCAAGCAAATACGACCCCTGCCGAGAAATCCACAGCCGACGTTCACCCTGCACATGAAAATGAAAAGTAGCACAGACCTCTATAAACTGCGGTTCCAGATTGAGCAACCAGCCTCGTTCGAATCACGTCAAGAGGCATGGCCGCTGTCATAGCCAGACAGCCTGACAAACCGCCACAAAAGAAATCTGCTGAGGATCGCAAGGACGCCCTATTAGAAGGTAATCGACAACCAATCTGAATGACACTCTCCTTCATTGGACGAATTCATAGAGTTATGACCAGTTCAACGCACCTCTCTTGAAAGGAACTCAAAAGATGAAAATTGAACTAATCCATACATCGCTGACAGCCCTTGGGCGGGTACATGACCTTTCCAAAATGAACGGATGCCCTCTTCTCGTGTGATTAATCGAACTGATTGGAGAACACCCTAAAACGTCCAACATGCTAGTACTTATTACCTGAAAAAAACAACAACACAAAAGGACAAAATGATTACGCACCTTATATTTGCCCGAGTTCTGGCCTCGAATAGGTTCTTCTTGAAGTTGAAAGCGTATCTTCAACACATCCAGAGGCTGTATTATCATCCGAGTAGCAATTCCACTTGCCAATCCAGCCTCACTTGAACACTAACGAGGATTTTCACTTTAGAAACTATACGTCAACAGACTAACTTTAACTAGTCTGTAGAAAGTGTGAGCATTTCAGCATTTCGAAGGAAAAAAAGGGATAATTCTTTCAAAACATCGCGAACCGCCTACTGAGCCATAGACGTCACGCCATACAAAGCAGAATCGTTTTGATTTTATTGTTCATCCTTCTTTCATGTACCCAAATTGTTAGTACACGTTTTGGAGCCGAAAAATGACATCAAGTATTATTGATCGAATCATTGTGTGAAAGCAGACGAAAAAAGAGGAGATAGATGCTGTTTGGCGATGATTTAGAAGGTATTCCTGAGAGAATAAATTTTGTGGAAAAACTAAACTTTCTAGGGGCTCGCAACTGTCGGAATCGTCTAACTCCGAGCTTAGAATAAGGGTGTGGAGGATGATAATTGTCTTTGGTGATTTTTACACTACTCGAAATTGTCATCAAATACGGCAAGATCCCCTCACTGAACCACTCCATTCTAACCATTACTGTAATAAATTGAAGTCTATCACCAAAGAAACATGGCGCAGACACCCAGACAGATTTATAGTCCCTGGTTCAAGAGCTCTACGCTGTACTTGCAAGCAAACTTAGCAACAATTCCGCATAACCTTGACAAAGTGGCAACCTCCCGAACCAGTAACAAGGATTCCAGAGGAGCGGACATCATTGCACACATGGGGAAGAGAAGAGTTAAGCAAAGCCCTATCACTACTAACTTTTAATCACTCCTGACATGCACTGGAA